ATTAAAAGTCATAATTGTAACAAAAGGAAAACAGCATTGGGGGTTTTACCATTTGATATTGTACGCAATAGAGTTTGTATGCAGGCTCCCCTATAACTCAACACAAATGATCTAAAACATCCCTTAAAATACTTTATCACTGGACTATTTCACACTCTATTAAATTAATAAAATTAGAATTAAAGCGTAATAAATCACAGATTTCCCCTTTGGTGTTAAATAGAACATGACTTTAAACCATTTCTAGTGGTGACAAGAAGGTGTTAATCTTTAGTCACATGGATTGTAGATGTGAAATCAAACGGATAATGCAAGTGTGAACGTGTGTCGATGTGTCTCTGTCCCCTGTACAGCTTCTTTTTCATCAGTTTTCAATTCAACAAGTACAGGGTGTCTGACCTTAATACAAACATCTGGCCTCTGTGGATATTAAACTGCAGCAGGTGAGAGTTTAACTCACACGGAGGCAGTCTGTGTGTGTCTCTGTATTGAATTCGGAGGTATTTTGGTATTAACCTTGTTTTAGTTTTATGTTATGGAGGTCCTCATATAATTTTATTTTATTTTGTCAGCTCAAATCTCTAAGTACAACTACTGCAATCAAAGGTTTTTTCAGAGGTCAACTTGCATATTTTGCTTAAGTTCCTTTTATTCAGATACTAGCAAAAACAGATATTGTGGCCCTGTGAAATAATAAAATACAAACCATGATCTGGTAATGCAAAATGAACCTTGTAACAAAGCTTCACACTTCTTTGAAGGCAACGGGTTATTTCACTTTTCGTACAAAGCAAAGAATCCAACTCTGTGCATGCCATGGTAATGTTTGAAGAAATTTGTATCTTTTAGGGGGAAAAGGCTGCCTTGTAAACGATTTGTTTAATATGCAACTTTGACCTGTTTTGTTTCGGTCACACTTCTAAAAAAAAAAAAATCATTCACTTTTTTTTTTTTTTTTTACAATATTTTTTTGAATTCTACAAAATATAGGGCCCAAGCCAAGAACTAGTATTCAGATAACTCAGCCTTTTTTTATAATCATTAATTTTTCTTTCAAAAGATTTTTTACATACAAACACAATAAATGCCCTCAGACTCTTAGCACATCCCCCATGCCAGGGGTGCTCATTACGTCGATCGCGACCGGTCGATCGCGGCGTGAAATTGAAACAGTATCAGCCGATCATCCATCCCGTCATAGTTCAGAAAAGTTAGCTGCGGATTCACAGATTCGGTTTTCTCTGCTCAATAGCTCGAGACCAGAATGTTCTTAGTAAACCAATAATACCTATTTTTAATCTGTGTTATGTAGCGGACAAACTACAAAACCTTTTTTATTAAAACAAGTTTCCCTCGGCATTCGCAGAAACACATTACCGTCTATGCGCAACCCCCTGACAGACAATCGCTTAGGGGCCGTCTGCAAATTACCAGATCCAAAATATGTTTTACCCAGAATATGCTTCATAACTTCATTCTAAATTGCTCTATTACAACCAAAATCAAGCAACACGCCACTCCTCACCTGCATATTGTACTGCACGACTCAGATTCAATAAATATTGAAATATTTATTAGAGCATCATTTTTATTCTTGATTATTTGGATCAAAGCTCAATTGTTACCATAAAAATCACTCTATTATCACCAAATTCAGGTCACACACAACTGTTCTAATGATTCAATTCAGTGCAAGTCATCAAATTAAACTCACATAATTACAAAAAAATGTAAATAATTAATTATTATGTGTGTTTTGTTAATTCTCAATAAAGTTGAAAATAATTGTTTGTTGATTGATGTTTTACATTTTTGTAGACGGTAGATCACTTTGACTTGGTCATTTTAAAAGTAGCTCGCAAGCTGAAAAAGTGTGAGCACCCCTGCCCTATGCCTACCCCTTAGGCCTTGAAAGAGAGGGCTAGAAGAATATATCACTTTGAATTAGGAGACCCCCACAAAGCCGTACATGTTTCTGAAAAGGTCAGCCAATGTATCACTCCTGGAATTATTATTTTTTTAAACATAGTAAAATTATATATTAGGTCATGGTATGCAAGTCTTGTGCATAGCATTAATGTTTTTAGACTAATAATGTTAAAATAATCCTGTAAAAGAAGCATTTTACTTTAACTGACCTATACATGGACATGGAACATGACATCTAACTTAAAACAATGGTTTTCACAATTTGAAAACTGTATATTATAAACATTTTGCGTTTCTTTCCCAAAAGACATCCAAAACTTCAAAACATTGAAGCAGCTACCAATTGGTGAGTCTAAATCTCAAATGGTTTTGGAATTTGAACAAGAATTAAGGACCAACTGGGCAGATGTTAACATTTGGAGTGGTGGTGTCCTTTTTAAGGTCCATCAGCAGCTCTCTTATAAAGTTGTTTTTTCTGAAGCACCTAATATTGTTAAAATATGCAGTTTTTTAAGTCAAACTTTGAAAATAACTTTCAATTGAGGCACCAACAGTAATGTATCTGGTTCATATACATGTTTTTCAACGGCTCATCAGTTCTTCAGATATGACTTGAAGCTGTTTCCTCATTATGTGACTGACTGGAGTATCTGAGGTGTGAAATGAGTCTGCAAACTATCATTGGAGGTTCTTACTTGTCAAGGTTTCAGCTCATTTTATGTTCTGTAGAATGACTGTTATTGATTTCTGAAAGCAAGTATTGATTAACACTTTAAAGACTCCTACTTGCCATCACAAAATAGGAATCCCTTGCTTTGTGGAACCACAACTAGAATCTTTTGAATCATAATTTATGACCTCACAGGAATTCTAACTTATTGGAGTTACACTCAAACTCCATAAAATGTATTTAAATGTATTAATCACATAAATTTCGATGTTAAAATGTGTAATGAAAAATAATGATCTAGATTGCTCTGATTAATCAACCAATCGTCACATAATAAAACCTGGATGAGCCATGGGGAAATATCTGTTTATGCATTTATTCACATCCAGGTCTGACTCTTTTATGGTATAGACCGCTCTAATTAAATCCCGCCCTACATTCTCATCCTCATTGAATATTCTGTTGCTCTCAGAAAGAGTCTTATTGCTGTTATAAAATAGGTCGTGAAATGCATTTCACTGTGTATTTAATCCAGCCCATCACTTTAATATTGATTGAACTCAGTTACACAGTAATGCAACTCATATGAGATTCTCTGGCATTAAACAAAGTCTAGCTCAACTCCACAAACTGTATGAAGAGCATCTCTCCTGGTATTTTCCAGCACACAACACAAAATCATAAATTCTTTTTGCTCTTCTCTCTCTTCCCAAAGCGCCGTGTTGGAGTGAAGTCAGAAGGCTGAAAATCAGGAAGTATAGAGAGCTAGATTTAAAGGGTTGCTTCATCAAAAAATGAAAGTGTCTTTGATTATGCTGGAATAAAATAATGTGCTTCTACATGCGACTAGGCCACTCCATGACCCTAATATGACCCATGTGACTTGGGTCATTATTATACTGGAAGACCTATACACGGCACGTTTTTAATTCACTGTCTGTGGGGGGGATTCTCAAGATTACACTGTAGGTTGCCTCATTTTTGAGTTTTGAGCAGGTTCTTAAAGATCTCTTGATTCTCTTTCAATGGAGCATTGTGCTAGCAACACAATGAACCCAAGAGAAAGCTAGAACTAATAAAATGTATTTATGTATTTATTCATTGAGTAAAATGAGTCGTTTTGGATAAGAGCATCTGCTAAATGCATAAACACTACACAAGCTCCATTCATTGATTGAAGGGTTAGAAGTTATACTGCGTTTCTACCCTTTGCATCTCACCAATACCCAACAAGCAGCTTGGCAAGAAATGTGGTGTTGGCCAGGGTGGAGATTTCGGAATCTGATTACTTCTGTAGACAGGTGTCTTTTTTATCAGTTAGCGAATGGTGATCTCTATACGAAAGGTTCCTAATGTCAGCTAGTTGCCAGTGCAAAAGAAACCTGTCACAAAGCTTTCAGATTGTTATTGAGACAATCCTTTATTTCATTAATATAAGTGCTTCATAACTTTTCAACATGAATTTTTGATCTCCTTGATAAAAAAAACTACCATGAAATGCATGGACGGATTGGTTCTTCTATCAGCTTGGGGTCAAACGCTGTATCTGGATGTGCTTGGAGTGAAGCTTCTCTTCTGGATTTAAATTGACTGATGCAGCGAGTGATCTCCTGCTCTCTTCTGTGTGTGTTACTGAAGCTGTGTAGGTGGCAGGTATTTATTGCTTTAACATGGGCGGCAATGAGGCGGCAACAAACACTGGCCATTTACACACCGTTAACACTCTTGCCCCGGGCAAGACAGCGAAAACATTGAGGTGGATTAGCCCGCTTTCAAAAATGTGTGTCGCATCACAAATCAATTTTCTGATCAACCAGGGCAAATGCAAACAGAAATCAGTGGGTTTTGTAGTCTTCTCCTTTCTTTGTGGTTTACTTTTGCACATTGGTAACTTAAAATTTAAAGAATCATTATTCACATTTCTGTGAAACTGAATATTTATTCTTGCATAGAATGAACAAATCTCCTGAAGGATCGCCGCCAAGACCTACATCAGGGGCATCAATCGACTGCTGGAGACTCTGTGGTGCAATGTAATGTCACTGGGTGGAAAGAGACCTGGTGTCCCAGTGATGTTCAATTGGTTTCTGTTCTAAAGAATGGACGAATACTAAAATGGTGCATGGAATCAATGCCATCATCATTGTGTCATGTTCCATCTTCCATCTTGTGTGGGGTTATGTAGGTTTCTTTGCCTTTTTCACAATTATCTCTAACATTTGCTACAGTAGGAGTTTCACACTGCACTACTTTTGTGATCATTCATGCAACAATCCAGAGATGCCCAGAAGAAGGTTGTACCTGCTAACTGATTTTTTTTCAATGATAATAACAATATATATCTAATCATACAACAAAACATGAGAAAAAAAACAAGTTAATGAGAAATGATTGATATATTTGCAGAGTGGTGCAGCGGAAGTGTGATGGACCCATAACCCAGAGGTCGATGGATAGAAACCGTCCTCTACTTATGTGCTGTTTGTTGGAAGAGACACCACGCAGTTTAAAAAAAATGTCTTCTGTTTTCTGTGAAGGTGTGACACCTGTCCAGGGTGTACCCCCACCTCTCTGATGTGACCAGATTTGGTCAGGTGAGAATTCCTTTGCATTTTTGCTCTTCCATTGTACCGACCTTGACAAGTTAAAGGATCCTTTTCTAAAAACCTCCAAAACATTTAGCAACATCTTGAATCACTTTTTAAACTAGCCATTGAAACATTTTTGAGCATTAACACAAAAAACAGTTGGGAGCGCCAAATGGCGGTTCTCTAATTTATTCCTGTGAAACCAAAAGCACATTATGTCAGAGTAACATTGTGATTGCCTGAGTTTTAACATAGTGAGTTGAAATGACTCAATTTTAACTAAACAAGCTGTATATAACATTTCCATTGTTTAACAGGGCAAGGCAGAGGTGTTGTGGATGGATAAAAGAGCAAGATTTATTAGTCTTGGGGTTAAGTTTGTATACTGAAAAGGTTTTCTTTATTTTTTTTTTCTTATTTTCATGATACCATTCTCCTGTGCTTTTGTGTATTTCACCTGAATATTGCAGCAGGAAGCTGCCTCCTGTTGATGTGGGGTTTATCAAGTTACAGTGTGATGTCTGACAGTATAGCTTCATCATTACCATGTTAATGCGCCTGCTGGGAGCTCCAGGTGCCAACCGGGTGCACTCTTGCCCTGTCCTGAGGCACTTGATCAGCAATAACTATTAAACGTGACAAAACGCGTGACATAATGCAAATTCAGTTATGATTTTTCCTTTTTCATTTTAGTTTGACACACAGTATAATTACATTTTTAATAGGGCATAGTTTTATTCATAGTTTTATTGTAAATCACCCAGTGATCTCTAACAGCTCAAAACCGCAGCTCCATCCTTGATTTCTGAGCAACTCTTTTTTTAATTAGGTGACATATTAAAACAGCCTCCCCCGTTTTCATCCATTTCCACATTTCCTGTTTTACCACTTAAAATTGAGCTGTGTAATTTTTGCTGAGGTTCCTGTGAAGAGAATCAACAGCCCTAATGAGTTTCATCAGAGTAATTGATGCTGTAGGGTTGCATTTACTGCCATCTAGACCATTTGGATCCCCAGGGTTCACAGTCTGAGATCTGGGTCTGAAAGCACTTCAAGCACATACTGTACCAGCTAGTTTGAGAAATTAGACGCACTGTAAATGAGTCACTGTTTTACAAAATATGGGTGAGGGTATGCATGTATGAAAGAAAGCTGAGCTTGTGAATTTTTGAGACTCTGGTTACAGGACCATCTCAATTTGGAAAAAAATGGAATGTCGACATTGATACGTTTTTTTATTCTTTAATCATAATCTTTATAATTTGGAATAGATGTGGGTCTTAAGATAGTCATAAAAGGTCTAAGGGTGTCTTCGAATTTAAGGTTATAAAATGTATTCGGAGCAACAGTTTTTCATGTTATATAACAAAAACCAAATATGTTTATAAAAAAAAGACAAAATAAAAATGTGTTAATCCCCCAAAAAACAAATCCAAGGTCAGAAAAAACAACTATGTGTTATATAACTCTTGTACATTAAAACCAAAAGTATAAAAGTATAAATAACCTTTTTGACAATAGATGGGGCGTGTCATTCCCACTTAATTCAAAACAGCCGGTGTGATTGGCATATGCACGGTGCAAGCAGAGACTTCTAAGGGTAAATGCCACTTATGCAGTTGGAAAACATGGTTGAATCTTTTACTTGAATCTGTAAAAAACCTTTAATTGAAATTATTTAATTCACTTTTGATTCTTTGTTTTGTAGCTTCACAACCCCATGGGGTTTTTTTATATCAGGTATCCAGATACGTTTTATTAAATACGTTCCAAGTTTGCTTTCAGACAAATATAAAACCATGCACAGGCACAGGCATGCACAGAAAAGTTTGCCCACAGAAATATTAAATGGTGAAAAACTGAAAACTAAGCTTGTATTGCTGCCACGCATTTTTCAGAACACAGGAGATGAGTTAGTTTGAGGCTTCCTTGTGAAAACCTACCACAATGTTCATTCATTTAATTAATTGTTACATAAACAGGTTAAATATTGGATGAGTAAAGTAACCTAAACAAAATAAAATAAGAAAGCATTTCAAAAATACTCATATTGAGAGAAAACAATTGAGTATTATAATTGTGTTCATTATAAAGTATATTGATGAATAAATCAAATGTGCTGAAATGAGTTGATTTTTAGAAGACGTCAAAAACGATTGCCTCTTAAAAAAAATCCCATCCCTCTCTGATTACACCCAGCCCAGCTCCTGACAGAAGAACTGCAGAAGTGAGCTACTAATTTCTGTATTTCTCGACATTCACCAAATTAACTTCAGTTTTTTAACTTAACTGAAAAATGCTATTTCGAGTGGAGTAAATAACTCTTTATACAATTAATAATGACTACTGGAATAGATGCAGCTGCTCCCAGGGACCCTAATTAGAAATAACCAGTGATAAATAATCCATTTAATGGAAACAGACATGAAACTAGTTGCATTATTAACCACAAAGAATAAAATACTTTTCATTAGTGTCGACAACCCTGATTGTTACAAAGCAGAGCATGGGATTTTTTCTTGGTTTTGAATGCCTGTCTCTGAGGGCTTCTAATATCCATTATTTTTGGTGGGTGGAATGCTCTTGAAGCCCTTCAGTTTGTGGAAATCTCTCTTCACTAATTGTTCCCTGTGTGACCATCTCTTTCCCCACAAGCCCCTTTTAGATTTAACTTTTTTTTTCCATAAATGAAAAAAGCAAAATTACATTTCCTCATGGAAAAAATGTGCTCCGTTGGCTCCTATATCACTTCCTCAGCCATTGCTGTGGCGATGTCACCCCCTGCCACCAGCAGCAGATGTAGCCCCAGCACTTTTCTGATTCTTTTGCTGAGGCGAGGAAACGCTGATGGAGCAACATCAACCATTTGAAAACCTTGAAAAGCAATAGAACACAGATGGAAAGAGAAGGTACGGGGCTATGGCTGGGCTTTTGATGGTTTCTGAGAAATATTTTACAGGACTGAGCTGAGCATATTGTCCTGCTGCTCGAACTTTGCCTCAGGCAGGATCGCAGATTGTGGATGCAGTCTATCCCCAGCCTCACCTTTAAGATTTCATGGTGAAAGTCATAACAACACAGCAGTTCTCAATGGGTTTGTCTTCATGACTTTAGAACCCAGCACAGAGCTAGACTTGATCATTGTAATAATAAAAAAAGGTTTTAACAGACTTTTTTATTTTGGTTATAGAAGAATATTCTTTTAAATGATAGACTTGGGTTCAGCTGACCAGTATGCAGCATTTATTACGATCTGAGGGAAACTAATCAATCTCCAGCAGACCGGACTGCCATCGAAAACTGCAAATCATGCTAAAAATCAGCTCCATATATGTTAGATCTAAAATTCACCTCATTGCAGCTGTCAGGATGATCAAAATGGGTTCATTCTTTTATTCATTTTCCAACCTACTTATTTACTTTCAGGGACACAGGGGTCTGCCGGTGCCTATCTCCAGTGCACTATGGGCAAGAGGCGGGGGTACATCGCAGGGCTCAAAATGAGTTATTTTGTCTCAATAGGAAATTAAAACTCTTTTTTTCTGAAAGTGTGGGGTTATGTTCTTCAGCAAATTAAAGAAACAAAACTGACGATTTCTACTTATTACTGGTTGGATACCCCATCAGCAAAGTACACATGAATACAAAACGGGAAGAGTTTAAAACAGTCCCAACGAAATAACCAAAACCTTAATAGACTTAATTAAATAGTTAAAAGAAACACACACATGAGAGGAGGCTTGCTCTCTTTTCCGCACGCCTACGCCACAGACCTCAGACTTCACAGTCTTCTCGAGATGCTCCCTTTCAAATCATTTAAATATTTGCTTTTCATTGTCTTATAATAAGCATTTATTTATTTTTTTTTGTTATTTCCCAACAACACACTGACATCCAGAATCCATTCCAATGAGTTGTTTCTTCAAATGTGGGACTTGTGTGACAAAAACTGCGGTGATTGGTTTATAGTGTGCAAAACATTGGAAATAATTTTACTGGTGATGATGTTGAAAATTCAGAATGGTTTTTGGTGAATCCTGGGTAAGATACCAATAGATAAAACAAATACAGTGTACCACATATATCAATCAAGCTAGCTTTTCTGGGATTTTATGGGAATCACATGTTGCTCTTTAAAATATCCTCTATAGTCCACTTAAACTCATTTTAAAATGAATAAACAGTGAATTGATGTTCAGCAAATGCCAATTTTTGTTTAAAACTGCAGCAATTGACGCTTTGACTGAGGTATGTGTATTTTTATTGTAGTCTGGAATACTTCTGAAGCTTTATGCATGTTTTTTTTCTGGGTGAGCCTGGAGATGATGGCATCTGCCGAGTTTGGCTGCTTGCAGATCAGGTGTGCCAAAACACCATAGAGTTTGATTGCAAATGTCGCTTTTGACGTCAAGAGCTGAACATATGGGAAACATTTCTCCTGCTATTCATCCTTCATGATGCACTCCAAAAACACATGAATTTTTAATTATTTTTTTCTGGGTTTCTTCTGATTGGTTGGTTTCAATGGTATGTGTTTTCCTGACCACATTGGTGGTCTAAAATGCTTTTAAATTTTACTTTTAAAGCAAATGTACGATAGCTAATACCGTGACTCAGTGTAGGATTCTATTTTCTGTTGAGGTTGAACATGCTTTAAATTATGTTCTGGCGATTTCCTGTCATATCAGAGATCATTGTGTATTTAACAATTAAACAGAATGGGAACTTTTAGATTAATAAACAGTCTAATGCCTAACTTTAAATGATGTTGCAATCCATGAAACATTTGTGAGGTTAAATCTTGATTAAGGCTAAATAAAAGTACAGCTGTTCAGAGCAGGGCTGGTCAGTCTGCATGTTCCTTCTGGTATCTTACTTTAACATC